GCGAGAGAGAGTGAGAGTACACACGTGTGGGTTATTTACACCAGGATCCCAGGACAGAGTATTTAGAGTTAACCAAAGCCAGTAGCTTGTCAATTTCAGAAGGATGATGCTCTAATACGTATAAGGCACCTTTTATCCCAAAGCTCTTCACAGGCTTTACTGACTGTACAGACTGCAATTCACTGCATAGACAGAAATCACAGGTAAAGGCTTCATAGAGTTAACATTGGACAGCAACACTAACACAACTGGAAGGGAAGCACTTACCTTATGCAACTGGAATGCAGGGGTATTTATGGAGCAGAACAGAAACACCTCCGTTGGCATTTGGCCTGGATACTAGGGCTAATATTACCTATACCTGTGAAAATTATCCTGGGATCCTTAGTGACCATGTGTGGTCAGGATCCTGCTTTTATTTCTAGTCTAAAAGCTGGCATCTTTGGCAGCTGCTTTATACCATGCTGTGCTGTCAGTCCAGTACAAGTACTTGGCACTCAGATATAGCTCTGTACGCTTTTCAGAGTGTTGTACAGCCATTACAGTAACTAATCTCACAACACCCCAGAAGGCAGATAGGTAAGTATCATTATTTCCTTTTACAGATTGGGGAGACTCAACACAGAGGTTAAGTGATTTTCCCAGGGCCACAGAGGGAGGTAATGGTAAAGGTAGGATTGAACCTCAGAAATTCCTGACTCCCAGCCCCATGTTCAGGACATTAGACCACACCTCAGCTCAGCACTGTATTGGACAGAACTGTCTCATCTACTGAATCGCCTGCACTACTTCCTCGAGTTTTCCCGACAGCAGTCCCAGCCAAATCCTGACTTGGCCCAACAGACAAGATCCCAAGACTGTGGACCAGATTTAAGGTGAAGGGCTGATTTTACATGCAGAAAAATTTAACAAGGAAAATGCCAAAGCTGTGCTTCTGACAGACACAAATGGGAAACAGCAAATATACCTCTACCCCGATATAACACGACCTGATATAACACGGGTTCGCATATAGTGCGGTAATCCTGAGACTCTGGCAGTGGGGCTCAAGCGGTGCTTTAAAGGGCCCAGGGCTCCGGCTGCTGCGGGGAGCCCTGGGCCCTTTAAATCACCGCTGGAGCCCTGCCGCTGCTACCCCGGAGCTGCGGCAGTGGGGCTCGGCTGGCGATTTAAAGGGCCCGGGCTCCCCTCAGCAGCCGGAGCCCGGGGCTCTTTAAATCACCGCTGGAGCCCTGCCGCCGCTACCCTGATATAACGGGGTTTCACCTATAACGCGGTAAGGATTTTTGGCTCCCGAGGACCGCGTTATATCGGGATAGAGGTGTACACAGTCACCAGCGGGACATGTTCTGCTCCATTCCCCCCCGGCCCCAGGACTGAGGCGAGGCTTGCTGTTGCATCTTCATCCCATTTATAATGCACTTTCACTTTCCTTATGCCCCCTATTGCAGCTACCATCCTTCCATGCATGGACTGTATGACACTCCCTTTGGAAACCATCAGTAGCAGCTTCACCAATGATTCCTCTGGACTCTTAAGAATGGCATGTGATACTCCTCTCCCACCCCCCAGGAGCTTCTACAGCTGCTCCAGATGGTCAGTCCAAGAGTGAGAGACCAGGACTCAGCCTGTAGCCTCCTCCCTAGCAGTATGAGAAGGCCACCTGACAACCCTTGCAAGATTCATTTGACTGCAATACCTGTAAGCATGCTCTGCTCTGAGTGGCTTCAGCTCTCCCTCATAAGGAAACATGTCCTCATACTCAACGAGAAGGCCATTGGCACCAAGGGTACGAAATAAAGGAAAGATCTGCAAGAGAAAGAAACCACTGCAGATCTGTGTCTGGCTTGTAATAACAATATCCATGTTCACAACTAACAAGCTCATGTCTTACAGATCCTGGCCTGCATAATTCCCAATGTAACAAAGGCAGCAGGATGTGAGGCAGAATCTTAACTTTTCTTTGGCAGTCTGTCTGGCACCTATGTGGAGTATTTCATTCACAGTGAAATCAGGACCCAAGATATCAAGAAGCCCAGAGCTGGTTGGCTCAAATGTGAACAGCTACAACCACAATCAGATGCTTCACTTGGACAGAGGACTCTGCTTAAGGTTTTCCTTAACTAGAATCTGAATTCCTCATGCAGCTGCAAAGCATTACAGTTATTGTGTGTGGTGGATTTAGTGCTGGTGAAGGAGGCTGGAATGAAAGCTTAATCTGCAACAAGTGGAAATCCTAAATCATTATTTCCTTCTAGGAAAGGACTGAGGTTACTGCAGTTTACAGTAAGCATCCTAAATAAGTTCTACTGAGACATTCTGGCCTCTGGATAAACCAAATTTTTTGCTCTCCCCAATCAAAGCCATATGGATCACTACATGCTCTCTTGCATCACACCCCCAGTGTGACCTCCAGCTAAGGACTGGAATCATTTTGGAGATGATTTAACAACCCCACTTGCATGCAATAAATGTTTTACCTCAGCCAGGTAGGAGACCTTTGGTGGAGCACCTTTGAGATCCAAGTGCACTAAGTGCAGCCCAAATGGTGAGGAGACCGTCATTTTGTTTTCTTCCATCTTCTTAGCATGGCAACAGTCTTCAGCAAAAGCAAATATTTTACCTTGAGGAGAGCAGCAAAACTTATTACTCCGAGTATTTCCCCCCCACAATTAAATATGGGTCTTAAGTACAGAAGTCTCATGTAAGCAAGATTTAGCCCAATTTTCTTAACCGGGGGAAGAGCTGCACTTATAAAAAAGTACTAAAAACACAAGCTAAACCATTGTGCTGAAACATAGATCGGAGGCCCAGTTCTATTCCCAGCTATATCGTATCCATGAGCCTGGCACATGCGAGGGCAGAACCGGACAATGGAGAGAGTCGTGAATTTTACACATCTGTGGCACCTTTTACCCAAAGACCCGAATGTGATTTTCAGGCAGCCATTTAACCTCCCTACCCCTTTGTGAGGAAGCAGAAAAGGGGTATTCTTATCCCTGTGCTGCAGATGGAGAAATTTGGAAAGGGCGACACTGAGAATTAAAAGTCAGAGAGGACGTCAGTGGGAGAGGGCTGATTCCATGTTGTAAGTGAACAGAAGATGCAGCTAAAACACTTGGTGTTCCAGGCTACCCATCTGTCTCAAGCGAGTGTCTGGGCATTGGTAGGAGGCCACAGAGTATTAGATTAATGATATCAAACACCACCTTCTTAGGCCACACACGGGCTGCCAGGGCCTGTTCACAGTCACATCTGCTGATTTAGTGACAGAGCAGTTTGACTCCTCTTTGCTCCTCAGAGAAAGCCCAGTGCTGGGAAAGTGAAAGACTTCCCCATCTCCTGCAGCACTGACAGATTTGTGATCTGCAAGGCCGCACCTGTGTCCCTGCCACAGAGAGCAGTGAGCTGAGTGAGGGTAATGAAGCAGGGCCCTGAGGCTGTGCGGGCCTTGCTGAGGGAGATTGAGGAAAGACTTGTCCTACAAAGCCACCGTCCCTGGCAATGATGCACTGGCCAGGCAGCGCCCGCTAGACTCTCGGACCCAGTACCGCCAGCTCTGGCAAGCCAGGGAGTGCATCCAGCCTGGCTACAACCTCTAGCCCTCTTGTAAATTACAGTCCTGCTTATGTGGGGGCAGGGGAATCCCCCTCTGATTGGTAGCCTGTCCCACTCACCCACCTCTTCAAGAAGAGCAGCCAATCAGAGTGGCTGTAGGAAGTCCCAGGAACTGACATTGTTTCTCACAGGAGGAGAGGAGCAGGAAGAGCTGAGCGGATCAGGGCTCTGCTCCCCCATCCCTCCTGTGAGCAGCAGAGATGGAACAACACATTTGCTTCCCCTGGATGCAGCACCCAGCCTAGGAAGGGGAGGGGAAGAACCCTTAGATCCTAGGGGAGAATGGATTGTGCTGTCTCCCGCCTTGGCCTGGTGGGATGGTGGTGGTGAAGATCCTAGGAGCTGCAGGAGGAGCAGAGATGGGGCGGGGGGAGACGTGATGGGGAACTGGGGGGAAAGAACTAGTTGCAGGGCAAGGAATGGGCAGATGTAGGTGGTCCCACCCATGGAGCTGGGCACGGCCGTTACAGCCTCCCTCCACCACACACTGGGGGTGGTCAGGGCAGTCGCAGCCCCTTCCCTACTCCATACACACATTGGGGGTGGCCAGGGCAGTCGCAGCCCCTTCCCCACCCCATACACACTGGGGCTGGTCGTGGCACTTGCAGCCCCTCACCACAAACACACACTGGGAGTGGTCAGAGCAGCTGCAGACACCCTCCCCCCCGCACATGGCCAGGGCAGTTGCAGATGCCCCCACACACTGGGGGTGGCCTGGGCAGTTGAAACTCCTCCCCCCCCCCCCCCCCCGAGGTGGCCGTGGCAATTGCAGCCCCCCCCCCCCGGGGGGGGGGGGGGGGGGGTTCCCCCCCCCCCCCCCCACTGGGGTGGCCGGGGCAGCCCCACTCTCCCCTTCCAGAGCAAGTCTGGCGGGTTTGGATCCAACTCACGATTCGTGGGCGCTGGGGATGGCCGTGGTTTCGCATCCACCCGGGCCCTGACCAGCCCCAAGTCCAGAGGCCACCCGACCAGCGGCACCCACCTGCCCCGGCACCGCGAGGGTTAACGCCCTTCCCGGCCCCACTCAGACCCAGCAGCAGCAAGACAGTTCAAGGGCTCCAGTCTCTTGCATGGATTGCTCTTGTCTGTCCTACCACCCATTTCCCCGCCGGTCTTCATTCGGTAATAGATTTCTTTGGCCTTTCTCCTGGCTGCTTTCCAAGCGTCTCTGACATGGATTACTCTGGCCTGCCCCTTCACAGGCTATTATTCTGGTATGGCCTGCCTCTAACCCTGTCTATGCTCTATCACTCTGATATAGATTGCATAGGCCTGTCTCTTTCTCAATCAATTTTCATACCTCCTGCTCTGTTATTCTGGTATAGATCGCTTAGGCCTGTTTTGCCCATCGCTCTGACATGGACTGCTCCTATCTACTTGCCTGCCCGATCACTCCGGCGTGGATTGCTCTAGCCTGAACTGCTTCCTGTCTCTGGTATGGATTGCTCTGCCCTGTCCTCCAGCCTCAGCAGTGGCTGCTTGAGCGCATCGCTCCGGTCTCCCCGTGCCGGCCGTTAGTGCGGGGCTCCGGGTAGCGACAGCGTCCGCAGCGCGATGGCTCCGCAGAGGCGGGCGGGGCCCAAGGCTGCCGAGAGCGGCGGGGGCAGCGCGGGGACCTGGGCGGACAGGGGGGAGCGGAGGCGCCTCAGCAGGTACCTGCCGGCGAGGGGGCGTGGGGTCCCGGCTGCTTCCCCGCAGAGGGGGCGGGTCCTGCTGGGCTGGGCGCCGTCCCCTCAGCCCGGGGATACGCCCCTGGTGCCCGTTAGCGCTGCTCGCTGTGTGGCTGGGGCTCCGCGCCCTACCCCCACCTGCCCCGGGCGGGATGCGGGAGCCCGATCATGGGAAGGGACCGGGCAGGAGGGAGCCCAGGCCCCGCGCTGCCCGGCGGCTCTGCAGGGGGCTGCTGTGCGTGGCCGGCTACCGCAGGGCGCCGCGGCGTCAAAGATGTGGCATTAAAACAGCCCCACCCGGCCGCTTGTCCCCGTGGGCCCCGCAGGGAGCTGCCCACCCTGGCACGTTGGGGCCCCCATCCGCAGAGTGCCCGAGCGCCACGCAGACTCCCACGCCCCAGTGCCTTGCTCCTGAGCACACCCCTTGGAGCTGGGGAAGGGGGCTGCTGTCCCCATTGTAGGGATGGGGAACTGATGCAGAGAGAGACCAAGTGACTTCCCACGATTACACAGGCAGAGCAGGGATTTGAAGCTGTGTCCCAGGCTTGCATCCTGCAGACCTGATCACCCTACCTCGTGGGTGAAAGTCCATGAGGCAGGCTTTCTCTTAAGAGCCCCTCTGGGGAAAGATTGAGTAGCTCAGATCTAAGCCATGCTGTGTTTATGAAGACCGTACAGGTGTTCATAATACTGATAATACTACCCCCGAATCTTCATGATAGCTGAAATTTATTCCTGTATCCAAAATTCTTAGCAAGACCAAAATTTGATTGTATGAAACTTTATCTTTGTGAAGGGTTTGGATGGTTCCTTGAGACTTTACCTAATATTTGTTACCTGTAGTAAGTTTTGCAAGTATTTGTTGCCCAAATAACAGGTCAGGAAGGAGCTGCACCCCATCCATTGGTTATTTGTACCTGTTTTTATTAGGGTTGGCTTTCAGTGTTATGTCTAGATAATGATGTTAGGCACATGCTATTCCATTAAAAACACTGTTGCATAGTTAAATGTGCAAATCAGCAAATGCAAAGAAAGGCCCCAATCCTGCAAAGACTTGTGTCATGATGAAGGGGCTTTGGGCCAGACCTGAGTGGTGCTGCGACCTTGTTCAAGTACGGGTGTTGCGGTGCCACTCACTCAAATTTGTAGGGGGTGGGTGTAGGGGTTCATGGGCCAGGAGGGTCAGGCTGCTGGCGGGGGAGGGGGAGATGCCTGAGAGGGGAAGAGAAGGTTCAAATGTGGGGGGATATCACTGTCCCCTATTTTAAATGGCACTCTGCAGTTCCTACTTGGTTAGCAATAAAAACTCAGTTTCTAGGTAAAATGGGGGTGGGGCAGATGCGAAGGGAGGGAGCTGCTCCATTTTTTTTCCTCCTCTATCTTAAATATGTATGTATGGGGAAAAATACATTAAACGGACTTACTTTCTTCTGCGTTTTTTGTCTTCCTCTTGGCAAGGTTCCTGTTGGAAAGCCAAGTTCTGCCTGTTAAGAGTAAGGTAAATTAATTGCCATTTTTAGAGCTTCATTGTGATTTAGAGAGGAGCCAAATGTTTCTGAAAACACACTGTAAAATGGTTTGGAATCCTAAACCATTGGAATGCAGAGAGGATTATAAAACAGTCAGAACGGTACAGGGTCTTACAGCTGAGCTCCATTATTCTGGCTCTGCATTTCAGCAGGGCCGCCTGGTGCCCTTGATGGTAAAGCCTGATGCATGCTTGCAGTGGCGTAGCCAGGGTCTAAGTGTAGGGGGAGCAAACCTAAAAAAGGCGCCCCCCCTTGGCTCCTCTTCTGGCCACGCCCCCCCTTGGCTCCTCCCGTTCCCCCCCCAGATTAACCCCGGGGCCCGGCTCAGGACTCCTGCGGGCTTCCCGGGGGTGTGGATACCCCCGTGGTCCCGGGAGAGTCTTTCCTGCCCAGCCCGCTCTGCAGGTGTCCCCCACCGGGCTGCGATGCCTAGCCCCACCCGTGGGGTCCCGTGCCCCCCACCCCAGTCTCCAGGCTCCTGTGCCGCGCCAGGGCCCCCCGTCCAGACAGTGCGGCCTGCGCCTCTGCCCTGCGGGCCCGGCCCCGGGGAGCCCCTCGCCCGGAGGAGACCCCCCAGTGCAAGGCACCGGATCCCCGCTGCTCACCTTCTGTCCTGCGCCGCCGCCTGTCCCCGGCCAATCCCGGCCCCGCGCTGCGGGCGGATCCCAGCTCCGGCTCTGGCTCCGGCTCAGGGCGGGGAGTGCTTGGCCGCTGAGCCCTGAGCCGCCGCAGGAGGTGGCTGCGCCTGCGGCGATGTTGGGGCCGCGTGGGGCGCAATGGCCGAGGAGCCGGCCCCCTTGCTCCTCCGGCTGCGCCTGCCGCCCCCCCCCATGTCTCCTCCGGCCGTGCTGCCCCCAGTGCCGGCCCGGCAGGCACCGCTTTTGGGAAATGTGCACCCCACTAGCTACGCTACTGCATGCTTGGGCAGTTTTGCAGGGGAAAGAGAACAAGTAATGCACATGTTTTTTGGAAGCCAGAAAAGGGAATAAGAAGGAGACTTTTATCTGTTTGTGCTGAGTTTCCTCCTTTAGCAGGGCTGAATCATGCAGCCCTTACGTGTGAGTATGTCCTATCAAAGCAAGTGGGAGTTTTGCCTCTGTGAGGACTGCAGGATTGGGCCCTAAACCTGGCTAGTGGGGGCATGCAACACTGCTGCTGGAATAAATGGCATTTATATTATATTTGCAGACAATTTTAAGTCCTTCCTACCTCTAAAACTAACATACAATAGACTTCAGGGGAGTGTTAGATCCTAAAGTCTTAAGGATCAGGGATGACAAAGCTCCATGTGCAGCTCTGAGCATTTACAATTTACAAGAGTTCTGCTAACTCCTGCTGGTTCCTCTGGAAACAGACCCTGATTGATGGAAATGGGGTGTGGGGGGGGCGGCTTTAAACTGATCATTTAAAAAATCAGGATTGATTTAAAACAAATAATAAAAATTAATAATCCTTCCAAGTCTGGCATGAGCCTAGATACTCACGTGTACTTCTGTTAAGAATCTGCAGCCTTATCACTACGGCCCTACCAAATTCACGGTTCATTTTGGTCAATTTAACAGTCATAGCTGAAATCATGAAATTTATGATTTTTCAAAGCCTATTTAAATCTGAAATGTCACAGTGTTGCAATTGTAGGGGTCCTGATCCAAAAAGGAGTCGTGGGTGTGTGTGTGTGTCACAGGGTTGCTGTGTGTGTGTGGTTGCGGTACTGCTACCCATACTTTTGTGCTGCTGCTGGCGGCTGCAGTGCTGCCTTCAGAGCTGGGCATCTGGAGAGCGGCAGCTGCTGGCTGGGAGCACAGAAGTAAGGATGGTATGGTATTACCACCCTTACTTCTGCGCTGCTGCTGCGGGAGGCGCTGCCTTCAGAGCTGGGTGCCTGGCCAACAGCTGCTGCTCTCTGACTGCCCAGCTCTGAAGGCAGCACAGAAGTGAGGGTGGCAATACTATGACCACCCTAAAATAACTTTGTGACACCCCCCGCAACTCTCTTTTGGGTCAGGCCCCCCAATCTGAGAAACACTGTTCTCCCCTGTGCAATCTGTATAGTATAGGGTAAAAGCACACAAAAGACCAGATTTCATGGTCCATGTTGTGTTTTTCGTGGGTGTGAATTTGGTAGGGCCCTACTTATCACAGCTTGTTGATACAGGGCTGGGAATGTTCATCCAGCTGATGAGCTAGCTCCCAAGGTGATTCCTAATCACTGCAGTGCAAAACACTATATAAGATTACTTGTTTACACAGGGATTTATCTGTGTTCTGTTCTTAGTGTGAGGAAAAGCAGAGCCCACCAAGAATCACGGAGGAAGTGGCTGAAAGTCGCATTCCTAGTCTCCTCTGCTGTCCTCGTTAGCCTCTTGAGCTGGAGCTACTTGGTCAGCGAAGATGGGGTCGCCGAGGTTCTGGCTCATTACAGCGAAAGTCTGCAGGACAGATTCATTGAGGTGCCCTGCTCCGAGGACTATGACAGCCATAAAAGATTTGAAGGTATTTGTACATGAGTGTCATGGGGTAGGGCAGTCCTCTTGTGCCACAGCAGGCTTGTCTCATTTCCACTGGAGTCCCTAATACTCACCTCTTCTTTCTATAGCATGTACCGCATCATAACTCACATGTTCCTTGACTTCCCAAATGCTCAGGTCTCTTATATCACTCCAGGATCTGCTGGTTCCAAAAGCACTTTGCTATCTTTCCGTGCACCTTCCCCACCCCAAACTGCTTCATTAGGGCAGTGTGAAATTAAACTCCCTGCTACATCAATTTCTCATTCCTTTTCATGCTCTGCTGACTCCTCTAGTGGGAGTTTGTAAATACAATTCAGGATGTATAATGGAACTAATTCTGGGTACTGTCTGCACTGTGAGCACACAGTAATCACACAGGCGCCAGCTTCTGATACAGGTTGTTTCCAGAATCATGTGCTTTAAGTACCGTAGTTAAGAGCCAGTTTCCCTTGCAAGGTTGTCACTGATAATGAAAACACAGCTTTGCTATTGTCACTCCCAAATGCAGTAGGCAGTACACATCCCCTTCCAAGTAATAGGTCCAGCTCTGGAGACTGCTTTCTCTCAACTAGCTACCTATCTCCCCATCCACTTATGATTACTTTGGATTCCTGGTGATGGAGCTTCTAGAGATAGTGAGATTTCCCTCTCCTCTGGGGTATGTGGTATAGCACAGTGACTTATGAGTTCTGGGATTCCTTGGGAAATGGGGAAAGTTCATGCTGGAATCTCCCAGAGTGGGTGGGCTGTCTTCTGCTCAGGTTCTGAGTGGCACTCCTAGGGATGCGTGAATAAGCTTTTTATCTCTCCTTGGTGTTAAATACCTAGGTGCCAACCTGGGCACTGTTGGTCCGAAACGTAACCACTGTGGCAAGGTTAGATGATTCCTGTGACTCTCAGACTAAACATGACTCACACTCAGGGGCATGTAGTTCCCACATCTGTTGCAGTGGAATTTGGGCATGGTTGGTGTGGCCCATGACACTTGCAGGTGCTGCTCTTTTGGGATTTATTCCATCTCCCCAGGCTCAAAGAAAACACGATATTGTAGATCCCCGCTGGAGGAGCTTGCTGGGTTGAGAAACTTCTTGGCTCTGGGTATGTGAAAATACTTTCCTAATTCATAGATCTCATCACCAAAAGGGACCATTCTGATCATTTAGTCTGACCTCCTACATAATGCAGGGTAGAGTATTTCATGCAGTCATTTTTGCCGCAAGCCCAATAACTGTGAGTGAGCTGGACTCAAATTATTTTTATTCATCTGATTATTTTTTGCTGACCAGCAATTCTCCCCCCCCACCCCTCCACCTGCCAGAGGACCTTCTCAGCCTGGGGGCTTAATCTGCCCATGAGTTTGTATTTGATTTTGGTATCTAGGTAATCTAGTCGGCTATTACATTTAATCGTGGGGTAGAACCCTACAGAGCATAAGGAGGAAAGAAAAATTGCCAGGGTTCTGCTTCCCCTCGCAGCACTGACCAGGACACTCCCTAGATACTCCTGCACTATGGACTAGTTCTGAACACATTTAGCTTTGTATTATGATTGAATTATTTAGCCCAGATTATGTCTTTATAGGTGCAGAGCAATCACACAAAGGGAGAGTAGCTTTGGAGCTACATTAGAGCCATTCTAAAACTGGGTAGAGGAAACCTTTCACTTTGTTTCTGGGCTATTAGATACTATATCTCTCTTCACTTTGACACTTGATTTTTTTTTTTACCCGTAAGTGGTTACTTTTTAAAAACCTAGTTTATATGCTATGTTTTCAAGAATTCACCTGTGGTATTTGATGCTCTTCCAAACACCTGCTTTATTAACAAGATAATTCAATTTATATTGTGATGTGTTTGAATTTTGTGGTTGGTCAGTTCTTGTCTTTTGCTTTGTCTCCACAAGGGGGTGATGTTGAGATGATTAAAGAAATATATTCCATGCTATACTGTGACAAGGTCAGAAAGCTGCTGTCGCTCCAAAGGTAGTTTGCAGGTAGCTTAGTGACTCAGAAAAGGGATGATTACATTTAGCCCGGTGTGCTGCCAAATTGGATTCAGATCCAGAGCTTTGAGTAGTCTGCTGGAAACTGTACTTTATACCTTAACTGTTTCATTCTGCTTCAGCCTAACATCTGCTTCTTTTGGCCATTTGCCAGAAGTTAGCTCCTCCCTGCATCACTGTTTGATGCCTCAACAGCAGTGTTTACAATGTTCCTTATCTTTATGCTCCTGTCCCCCAGTCTCGGCAGTCACCATCCTTCCAGCTCAGGAAAACTGGATGAGTTCCCTCTTGCAGCTCATCAGCATCATTTGTCTTAAGAGTTTAAGTGATGCGAGGGCATTTCCGTCCATGTCCCTCCCCCTCTTCTCTAGGTTGAGATTCTTGTTTCCAAAATGCTCCCAGCCCTTGCTGTTAAAAAGGACACAGACTTGGTCAGGGGTATCTTCTGGGTCCTGATTTTTTAAAATAATTTATTATTTTTAAGAGGGTAATTAGGCAGCAGAATAGAACTACAAGTACATCCAGAGCCAGCAGTAGCAGCATGCAAAATCTGTTCCCTTTATACAGCCGAGCACAGAGCTGTGAATTGTCATCATTTTTGAAGTGCGGATTCAGGGAAGAGTTAAGAAGATGAAGATTATTGCCTTCTGGTGTTGAGTCCAGTTGCAGCCCTCTTGGGATTCTCAGCCTGGCAGCATCCTGTGGAGGCTTGGCACAGTTTCTTGTAGAAGAACCTGAAGGTTCTTTTAATCCAATGTTGAGATATAGCAGAAGAACGGTCAATAAAATTCCTCATTTGTTAAAGTGATCATTTTTGATACAGTCTGAACTCTGATCATAGCCTAGCAGCAATTGCAAACACTCAGCCTCCACCCAGAAGCCCCGACATGGAGAAAACCACTATTGCTAGCTCTTTATTTACATTAAAACTAGCCTTTTCCACCCTTGTTTTGTTTCATTATGGAACAAAATCTGACTGGTTCTGTTGTTCGTTACTTGTATCAGGCATTCACTTATTTGCCATTGCGTATCCAAAGGACTCAGACAAACATCCAATGACCATTAAAAGTATATGGATAGCGACCAGCAAGCTACTAGATGTTTTCTTAGATCTATTTAAAGCTAGCGTTTCTTATGGACTAGCCAGTTAGGAGTTCTTTTGGATCAGATCCAAAAAAAGTGGCTCATAGTGCATAATAGTGAATTTGTCTTTGACACGAATTAACTTTTCCAGGGTTGTACCTCCCAAATTGTTTCAAACCAGTCAGTTACAGATAGGGGACAACAATTCCTCTTTCTGGCCATAATGAGTGGAGAACACAAAGATATAATCAGCTATATTTGAGGGAGTAACCTGTATAGGTAACTACGTCCTGGCTGTTTTTGAACTCCACTGTCCACAAGGGTTGCTTGAAGCATAGTGCAGAAGAGTGTATATTTTTCCTATGGGCTGTATACAGTGCCTCTGCATTACTCCTTGGCTATTTGAAAGAGAGACAGTAAAGTAAGTACTGGTCTTGATGGGATTTTGGAGAAATGGCACAGGGAAAGCTGGAGGTATTTGGAAGTAAACATGGAGAGTCTGGAGTTGCTGTCCATAAATCAGAAGTGCCGGTTTTGAAAAATGAGACTACTGTGTTTTTTCACTCTGTCTTAAAATGCAAAAGCAGAGTGGTGGCTATAATTTCTCTCCTTAGCTTTTGCTTTAAATTACGTTTTTATTTATTATTGGAGCCAAAGCTTAAGAAACTGTTGCTATTAAATATTTGAGGCTGTATTTCATGAAGTATATACAAATAATGTAATGGTCTGTCATCAGTAGCTACAAATGGGCTGAATATCCCTGCCTTTAAATGTTTTAGGCCGACTTTCCAAACTTCACCTAAAATCCATGTAAAGATTCAAATAAAGTTGAACATTCAGATGTTGGCCTAGGTTTCTGTTAATGTGGTTTCTGCATCCAGACTAGTACACCATAGCTTGGAGTTTTCAGCACTTGCAGTGGTAATTCCTGCATCCAATGTGACAACAATAGGAGACTTAAAGAAGGCCTCCGGGACTGGATTTTGAGCCATTATAATTGGTTTTAAAGCATTGTGCTTCCAGCCTGCTTCAATTGATATTGTAATTGGCGTCACACAGCTGAGAGTTTATTCCTGACCATTGCATGGTAGTGAACATCCCTCATATGGAAATTCAGAGCACTGCTTGTCAGAGGCTGAGCTTCTGGCTTTCTGTATTTAGGGAATAAGATGGAGTGCATCATGATCATAGGAATTGTGGTCTGCATTCTGAATCATGCATGCAAACCTCTCTTATGCTGCCTCCTCCAAGTGTGCTTTTCACTCTAAAGTTATGGTGGTGGTCATGATTCTACTGATAAACCTTCTGTGTGGATTGCTTTCTGTGCTGTAATGGTACTTCTCTCTGTCAGTGATGAAGCAGGTCCAGGTGGTAACTTCAATGTGACATCATCCAGAGGTTAGAGGAGTGGATACAGAAAGGCAGATGGGAAGTGTGTTACAAGTAGGATCAGAAGATCCAGCAACTAGGCTGCAAGTATTGTTACAAGAATGTCATCCTAGCCATCTTTCCCTCTTGCTATGTTGCTCTGAGATGGGTTGCATCAGTTGAACTTTGTGACGAATGAACTTCTTGCTCCTGGGAGAATTCCCCAGTAACCACAGCCTCTTCATTGTATGGTGCCAAGGAATATAGCTTTTCAAATAAAAAGTAAGGTGTAGGAGGTCTGGTCAGCTGTATGGTGTTGGGTACATTCTATCTTCCTCCAACATACCGAATAGGTTGTGTGATTGCCGTGCGTCTCTGACTTGTTGAGTATCTTGATACGTTCTTTTTGATCCTTGTCAGAGAAGACATGCAGCTTGCAGTTTTCAAGCTGTGATGCTGATAGTATATCACTGAATGTCTTTGTATCAACTGGATGCAGTATCCCTAGTGACACTTGAAACCCTGTGAAACTATCCCCCCCATTTCTAATTTCATTGTGAAGGTGAAACCAGCATAGGTTTCTATGAAAATTTTCTCTAGGAAAACTAACAGAAGTAAAGGAATTTGGTTAGAATAAAGAACAGAATCTGGAGTAGGGGAGGGCGAGGTAGAAGTTGAAAATATCAGTATATTTTTAAATCTGTCTTTGTGTTATCATTTAAAGTACATCTGTATCTGAAAGTGGGACCTTTCTAATTGATAAAATAATCTTCAAACAAACCAGCTCCACCCTCTGCTCCTGCCTAAACTCACATCTTGTGTTCATTTCTTACTGTCAGGGCCTAGCTGATTTGACTAACTCCTGAAATATCTTTATATTGCTTACATCTAGGATTGTAAATCTTTGTTACCTTCAGAATACCTTTGTCAAAGCTCTTATTCATGTCATCATCTCCTATTCTGTGCTTTTGCTAAATCCTGATTCACCAACTTCAGTCTTTCTGTTTCTTGAATCTCAGCTCCTCTTACCTACAGATTGTTTTCGTTGGTCCTCCAGTACCAGACTAATTCTCTCCATGGTAGGTGGAAGGTCCCTCCGCCTCCCCCCACCCTCAGGCTGTCTTTACCATCTGGAAAAGCCTCCCAGCTCTTCTGTGCTCAGTTGTCCTCCAGACTCTCTTTAAAATCCCATCTCAAGATCCATCTTTTCCCCTTGGCCTATGGCTTTCAATCCTGTTCTCTAGTGAAACAATCAAGTTCTACTCCCTGAATTTTCAGGCTTCATGCTCAGTCATTCTTCCTGTGGCTTCTAGTTCCTTCACCACAGGTGTATTGGAGTTACAGATACCACTGGGAGCATATATTATACAAGGTATTATTGGTGGTAATTATTGCAAAAAGATTCATTGATGGTTGTGTGGTTCAGGCTGTTAAAAATAAAGTGCCTAGTAGTTTACACCAACAGTTCTGGGAACCAAAATTCAGTCCCTCTTTAGCTGTCTCTTAAAAACACAGCAACATAGAATTCGTGTGTCTTTTGGGGCTGGGCAGGCAAAAATCTTGTCAAAATCTGGTTTACGGGTTTGTTACAAATTGAGGCTGCGGGGCATCCACTCAGACCTGGTGTGATTAAAATAATGAGAGTTGGAAATACTACAAGTCTCACAGTATTTGGTGTTCTGACAGTCCTCAGCTCCTGGAGTCAAGTCATTGTGTGAAAATTTCAGCATTCATTTAAGAAAAAAGTTCGTAGCCTTCCTGATTGCAGGGAAAATCTTGAAAACTTGCCTCAATGTATTTCTTTAAAAAACAAAAACTTGTGATTATTTGGGGCCTGAGTTATGATTTTTGAATGCCTGCGATTGGCATTACTACTGAGTGCTCTCTATGGCCTGCTTGGTCCTAGTAGTTCATATTGAACATTCTCTTCTGATGCAAAACACACTGATTTCTGCTTAGTGATGGTCCTGGATCCTGTTTTTCTCCCTATTAACCTAGGGGGGCAATGGGGGAAAACTGATGCAGACAATTCCTTTGGTGTAGTAGCTAAGCACAGTCTTTGCTACATTCCTGCTGGAGTGCAAGGTTCTTTGCTGGCATTGCATTATATAGTCTAATTCCCCTGACGCTTCCCAAATAATTGATGTTATTTGCTTCTTGGAGTATGAATCTTTCAGCAGATTTTGGTGATTTATTGTTGAATACTCATGGAGCACACCATTAATCGTTCTGGTATGTAATCCGGTCAGATGGTCTTTCCCAGGGATTTGTTACTGGCCCTGTCTGCTTAATTTTTACCCTTTTTGATTTAGAGGGAAAAAAATCTTTTTTTGGACAATGCAGAGAGGGATGATTGACGGGGGTAAGCAGGAAGTACTGAGGCATGAGAATGATGTTTGTTCGGGAAAAACAGATCTGTGATTGATCTCACTGATAATTGGAGAGAGCAGACAAAATGTGTGTGTAAGAAACTGTGTGTGTATACATGCAATCTACTATTCAGGGCTCTAGGTGCCTCTGACAGATATTTGAAACAAATCATAAAACCAGCAGCCTTCTCTTAGCCCCAAACAAGAAAATAGTAATCAAAAATTAACAATTGAAGGAAAACAGTAGCCCACAATACTCACCAATTGCATCCCTCCTTGCTTCTTTCCCTCCCCTAAGCCTTGGAGAAATGGCTGGACTTTGGAACAGGCCCAGAAGGCTGACAGATGTAGCTATTTCTCACCAAGGTGGGGAGAAGAGTTTTGCAATGCCTTTCTCCCATGCCAATTGCCTCTCATTCCCATTGCCTTGTGGTCACCTGTTCTTGTTTGCTCTTGTTCACAGTTTGCCTGATGTTGTTGGATTGCATAGATGCATTAACTGATTTTTTTAGAAGTGCTTTCCTTCTTCCCGGCACCTTTTTGTGCTCTGGTGAGCAAATAGTCGTCTAAGAGAACTCCGTTCAAAAGCAGTAAGCATACTGGCAGATGTCAGCAAATATGTGGATCTAGGCTTTTCTATTGCTTTATAATTACCTCCCGCTTCCCCTGCAAAAAAAAAAAAAAAAAAAATCTATAAAATGTCAAGTCTCAAGGACTCTGTGGTTTACAGTACATTTTAGTTCTTATTCCTGCCCTGAAGCTACTCTGGATTGGACATCTGTGATTCCTCAAGGACTACTAGATAAAGAGTGTACGAGATTTGTAGTGCTGGCTTCTCTTTTTAACTTTTATATTATTGCCGTGTTCTGCAGAAGTGGATTTTAAAGGTTATTTGCTATGTAATTTGAAGCTGTATCCCCATGGTCTCCTCTCTTCTCTGTCTCACCTTGTAGCTCTTTGCTCTCACATAGCAGCAAAGGGAAATTACTTGAATAATTGGTTCACACGCACACAGTACAAAATTGCAGCGCTGATGGAGGTGACAGTCTTCAATGTCCCAGTTATACCCTTTCTGGTGCTTTGTCAGGCAACGGAGATGCCCTCTTGGGCAGTTACTCTTATAAATGCAATTAGGACACCTAAGGCCTGGGAATTATGGGTCCTGCCTCTTCTCCATGGTTATATCCTTGAGTCTGTCTTTCTCTCCCTACCCTTTGTTGCTTGCCTGCTGACGTCATGGCACACTTCCATGCAGCTGGGAGGGAAGGGATGATTAGTATCATCTCAGGTCATCATTTCATGAGCTGGCTTCTCAGGCCATAGAAGAGTATTTAGAACTCTTTACCACCAAGATCTTAGCATGGGGTTGATTGCAGAGATGCTTAAGGTCAGTCCTGAAGCTGGATCTCTTAAATGGTGTTGCAAGATTCAGCTGATATGCACTCCGTCCTCTGCTCCTAATATACTTCACTTCCACAGCCCTGTGTGGCAGTCGTCATTCTTCCAGTAGAGGTGGACTGGTGGGCCCTCCCTTTACTTGCACGGAGCTAGTTTGCTCCCCATGGCCATCCAATCCCTGGCCTTTCTGTTGAGACTGCAAACTACTTAGATTGTAAGCTCCTTGGGGCGGGGACCATTTTTTTGTTCTGTGTTTGTACAGTGGGGTCTTGGTCCATCCTCATAGGCGTAGGATAATACAAATAATTTCTAGGGCGCTAATTGTGGTGGTATGTTGTGATTTGGGATGGTCATCCACTAGAAAATGCACAGAAATGACAAACCCATTGCACATAGGTCATTGGATAGTAAATTATTTCAGACCAAGGCTGGATTTGAACTGTTGACATGAGATGAAAGGCTTTGTGTAGAACTGCCAGACCCTGAACCATCTCCTATTCTTTGCCCCTGCTTGCCTGTGGGCTGAAATGCTGCATGTGGGGCCAGGTCAGCCAATACCTTTCTGCATTCCAAGGACCATTATGCAAGCAGGAATCTTTGCCTTCTTTAATTCTGCCCTTGGGAAGAAGTGAGAGGTCATTATGTTTCCCACTTCTTATTTCATACATACAGGAATGAAGTACAGTGTTTCTGATAAAGTCATACCTGACATATGATACCATTCTAAACAAAGGCTAACTTCTCTGGCACTAAGTCTTAACCTCAGACTGCACTGAGTCTGTTTATTTTGATAGATTAGCAAAGGGACATAGGTCAGCGTGTAAGCCTTTATTTTTATTTTTAACAAGCTTATTTTTACAGAAACCTAGGAGCAAAATAAATGTTTCCAGGAATTGTTTTCATGTTAATTGTAATAGTTTATTTTTAAGGGCATGGCATTCCCTTGCATTGTCTTTAACCCAAACATCTTGCTCATGTATGAGAACTAGGACTCAAAATGAAATGTAAATTTGGATTGGTTTTAATTTTAACAATCTGAGGTAGGTGGTAGTAATCAGGTCAAGAAATCGGTTTCCAAAATATCATTTTTAACCTGTCAATTTTCCTTTCAAGGAGAACAAAACTTGGGAAACTGGGAGGTGGGATATTGAGATTCAGTGTGTGCTTCTTTGTAATGTAGTCTGCTTTTTATCGTCCATCTCCAGGGTGCACTCCTAGAAAGTGTGGAAGAGGCATAACAGACGCAGTAATCACCAGGGAGGAAGCTGAAAGAATCCGTAGGTAATTTTTCTTTTAGCCTTAAAAAATTACCTTAGTAGCATTGGACTAGAGGCAAGTGGAATTACATTGAAAGTGTTTACACCATGTCATTGGTGCAAAGGTCATTAGCTGAGGACTAAGGCTAACAGTTCAGGGTGTTAAAATCTTTTCCAAAGTCGTCTTCTATTTTGCAACTGGCTGCTCTAGTCGTCTAGGACACTCTGTCTTATTCACTGGAGATTGGGGAGGAAGACTCATGTCCCAATGGAAGGAAATATGGTATTGTCCTGGATTGAATTAGGGATTTTTCATTTGCTCCATTGTTCCCGGTCGGACTTGCCCCCATTTTTTGTAACCCTATCTCCTTTCTGTGCATAGTAGCAGCTATGAGCTGCTGTGAGCTATGAGCTAGAGCTAACAAAATGCAGTAAGGCAGATGGCTTCCTCTGTGACTCCAATGTGCGGTGCTGTGGTCAAGGGCTAAGAGATGCTTGAACTTGACACAGCTGGGCAGGTGAACAGCCTAATTGAATACCAGTTGTTTTCAGTAACCAAACACTAGGGGCTGCCTAAGTGATGTGGTCTGTATTATAAACTGTGGGTTGACTGAGAACACTGCTTCTAAGGCTACGTCTACACTAGCACTTTTGTCAGTAAAACCTTGGTCGGTCAGGGGTGTGAAACCCCCCCACCCATCTGACGTAAGTTTCACCGACAGAAGTGCCGGTGTGGACAGCGCTATGTGGGCGGGAGACGCTCTCCTGCTGACATAGCTACTTCTGCTCGTTGGGGGTGGTTTAACTATGCCGGCAAAGAGAGCTCTCTCCCGCAAGCATAGAGTGGCTACATGGGAGACCTTACGTAGCCTTAAGTCTCCCAGCCCCCTTTTGATGCAGGACTGGTATAGATCCCAGTCCTCACATATTGTAATGGCTTGTTCACCAGCCAAGTCAATGGTCCATCCCTTTCTAATTCTGGTCTCTTATTTTTATACTCCAGTATAATGTAGAGATTTTGTATTATTGCCCTTAGAATTGAAATGTAGGCCTCTTCACATTAGTCCTGTTTGGCAGGATATCTTTGGAAGCCAGGGATTTTTTTTTTTTTTTAAAGCGTCTTTGGGATTCCCGCAAGAGGGCTAAGAATGCCCCACATTGCAGCCATCTTCTTGCAAGCAAATGCTCTACCCTTCTTGGTATCATAGATTTATTTTCCTGCTTGTGACTTGTAACAGCAAGATCATAAGGATTTCAAGCCAATGACAACTCTCTTCACCAATGCACATTACATATGTTGTGTTGGCTAATATTTACCCGACAGCTGTACATTGTAAATTGTATTGTTAAGGACAAAGAGGTCTGGCTGTAGTTCTGATTTGAGACTGTTATTTCACCTGCAGAATAGCGGAGAGGGGACTGTCCTTGGGAGGATCTGATGGAGGGGTGAGCAGCGTCCTGTTACCTTTTACATTCTTCTGTTGTTAAGGCAAGATTTTCAGGTTTTAAATGCATTTTTGGGAGGGGGCAAGAGGAGGAAGTAGGATGGATAATTCCACTGGCTACCCCGATTTGGCAAGATCTCCTTATGGAGATGTTGATCTTCCTCAGTAGTAGAGATCATGGCATTTGCATTATAACTTACTCATTCCCTGTTTTTCAGTTTGTAAATATAACACCCATGCTGTACTCTGCAGTCTGGTGCATGATATTGTGCTATGGACGTGGATGCTATTAACTACAGCACTGGTGCATTAACCTCTGACTCCTGGTTCTTCAAAACTGTGCCTCTAAAATAAACTGTGGAAACCCCTTAGAGATCAGTTTTGGGGTAACATGAAACACATTTGGTGCCTCAAGAAGACCTTTGAAAAACATTCTGTTTAAAAACCATTCTCTTCCTTTGATGTACATTCCCTTTCATTTCTCTTCCCTCACTCTTTATTCCTCAGCATATTTGTGTGGGGAATAGAATCTTTAGTTCTGAAGAGTTGGCTGCATATTCCCCACCTATATTGGTAATCTGTGACATCCTACTTTGTGGTAGAAGATGATGTGATTGTTAAAGCCTGGTATGACTACTTGCATGTTTAAAGTTAAGCACCTGCTTTAGTCTTCTGCTGAATTAGCACTAGAAAGGAAATGAACAATTTGTTGATAGAAATTTGAGAAACTCTTCTCTAATTTTCATGCAGATATCCTTATCAGTAAGGAATGAGGGAAATGAGACACAGAAACAAAAATTGTTTATAAATCAAGAGTTCAAGTCTCTTCCTAGGAGGCCTCAGTATAGCAGCTCTGTAATGAGCACTGCCCCAAAACCCCAAGGAGAACAATCACACATCTGGGAAGAGTTCTCTGTCCACCAGGTTTGGAGAAAGTAGATTGGGACTTCCCTCTGCAGAAATGGATGAAGGCTGGTGTTTTTTGGCAATACACACTGGCCAGGCTTTGGAAGGGTAGAAGAGAAGTTAGGAGGGGAAGGAGTTAAATGTTAAATTTTAAATAAAGCCTTCATTTACTCAGACTAATAATACCATTTGCTTTTTCCTGCAGTTGATGCTACTTTTTGCCATTGTAGCCTTTATTTTTCCTGACTTTTTTCAGCTGTTTGTAATCCCAGTTTACGTTCCTTTTATTTTCTCTCACTAACCAAGTGCCACAACTCTCCAGCTGCAATCCTTGGAGACACTACAGTCTGTATGTATTATGTGTGCTGCCAACCCTGACATATCAACGTCCTCCCCATACTCTGTATGTTCCCCCAATGATCGACAACTGACTCTTCAAATCTTTTGTACCGTTTATTTTTAAATATTCTCTAATAAAATTTAAATTTGTTTTCCTCCTGTATCCCATTTCTGTCCACCCGCTTTATGAGTAGGTGCGGGGTGTAGGTTTCCTTCTGTTGGATGTCTGTTTCTATGTAATATGATTCAGTCATACAGTTCCAATCTACTAATCTGGAACCTAACCTTTGCCACAGAAATTTTATTTTTCTTTAATGGCAAAAACCCAGTAGTCCTTACTTTAGCAAAGTCCCCATTGAAATTATTGGGCGTTTTGCTTGAGTAAAGATGGAACGATTTGGTCCTGAGAGACCAGATTCTTGCTTTAAAGCCGATTTCCCCAAGTGTCAGTGTAACCCTGTGGGTGGAGTGCAAAGAACTGTCTAAGGGAATGTGAACAGGCCTCTCACTTGTCCTCTAAAGTCTCAGCTTTCATTTTTAACCCTCCCCCATAAATCTCCAGTTTATGGTTGCAAAGAAAACCTTGAATACACAAGCTGGGTGTAACCAATGCAGAGATGCCTTCCCAACTTTTCAGACCCTGAAAAAAAACTCTCAGGTGTGAACTGCTCCATTTCAATGGGTTCTAACTCAGATACCAGCAATGCTAATTTAAAAGACAACATTCTTAATTATTTCACTGCTTACCAAGGCATGTAACAAAGGATAGGAAACATCTTATTCAGGGTCCTGTGTATCCCACAATTTAGCAGTTGTGGAATTCACCCCATTGGTGCAGAACTGTGCTCTAGAATCTCAGCTTTCATTAAAATATGAAATCATTTCTAGACCTTGTGGTTGCAGAAAGAACCTCAAACATGAACCAAAACATATGTTATAGCTGTCTCCCTGCCCTGCTGGGAACTGCATGTAACTGTCTCTTGTTTTGCAGATTTAATTGGCTTTACAGTGCATGTCTCTGATGCTGTTTTGTGAAGACAGGTAGCAAGGTATTGGGGGTGGGGGAGAGAGATGGAATCCAGCTTGTTGCCAGGGAATGGGGGAGACAGAAATGTGGGCTGATGAGCTAGGCAGCCTGGAAAAGAGTGCAGTAGCTGAGGCCTGGGGAAATAAGATGGCTACAAACTTCCTTATTCCATGGTGCACTTGGGAGGGAAGGAGGTACTGAGCTGGGAGCCAAAGCCTGGGGAGTGGAGCTGGGCCATTTGGAGAGCATAATGAAAAACCTATTGTCCATATCAAGATAGAAAATAATGATCAACAAATGTTTCCCAATGAGTATTTTCAACTTTGATCCATAGCTGGGTGTTTTGGGGGTGGAGGGCATGGAAAGGAAGATGGGTTTTGTGGCAGTAGAATAAATTAATGCAACTGTGCAATTGAATGTAATGTCCAGGGTGGTTTCTCAGTTCCAATCTATTCCAAGCTCTCCATCACATCTTGGAACATACACTAACCTTGCTCTGTATTTAAATACAGTATGTACACTAGTTTATGGCAGAAGATGTAAAAGTATCTGACATCACCTACAGTAACACATTGATGTCTCATAGAATGTGTCTGAACATTAAATAAAGATGCTAAAACAAGGAAGTCAGGGACTCCGTGTAGGTATGAGTTATCATCCTAAATTTTTCCAGATTATATTTGAACTTGATTGAGAGATATTGTGGAGTCAGTAGCTCCTTTGTTTTATCATCATCCCACGAAATATGTTGCTTTCCTTGGTACTAAGTTTAGGTAGAAATAGAAATGGTATTTGGATTGTCTTTCGGAAGAAGGCAGCCTTCACTTCAACTGTAGATCTAGTTTTATATTGTGCCCAAGATCCCACACCTGGAATTATTTCCTAGTTCCTTCTTTGTCCCTTTTTGTAAAAAAAAATTTTAATTAGGTGAAAGGAAGACCGCTCTGAAAATAATTCATAGAACAGTAGATGATGGGCCATCCCACTGAACCTCTTGCATTTTACATAAGTATTCCCACTTATGCTATAGTAACAACACTTAGCATTTATATAGCAGGTTACATGTTCAAAGCACTGTACAATCATCCTCACTGCACCACATTTTGAGGCAGTATTTTATTATTGAGTCTGGAGGGAACAGAACATTGAGTACATTATCAATGAATGCCAACTCTGCTCGTGTAAAGCTAGTCATTCTTTCATTACTGTATCAGCTATCGTGTTGTGGATCTGTATTTTGTGTTGATGTAACAGTTGAATTGGGCACAGTTTTGAATAGCGTTAGGCACATATATTCCCTTTGAATTGGCTAAGGGAGCATTAATTGGATTACTGATTTATCTGAGGACAAGGGTACTCTTCTCAGCATGAAGGATAATTGCAGTATGTGAAATCATATCATCTTGATTGGCACCTATTAGAGAAACTGTTTGGCTGTGGGCTGCTTCAGCTCAAATTACGTTGAATGCTGGGGGTGGCTCTTGCTTTTCAACAGATTGGTAACAGATTGCTTCACTTGAAGGAAGCAAGTGGAAATGTCCCTTATCCAAGTGCTGCTAGCTTTAGTGAATGGTTTGCAAAGAATTGCATTAAGTTGGTGCCCACAGTGTCCTGCCATAGAGTGATTTTATTCCTAACCTCTGGGGTTCTCAGAGTCCTCAGCCCCCATCTTCCTTTGGGCTTTGGGTTTGGGTTTTCTGGTCTCCTGACTGCAGGCCTGATCCTAGGACATATGATCCTCGCACTGGTCCCTTAACCCAGAGAGCTCCACTGAAATGCAATCTTATTTATTTTCACCACAGACTTATTTTTTTTCCCAGTGGACTGAGATTTTGGGTCATCTGCGTTCATGATGCTTGCTGAAGCTTTACTCCATCCTCTTTCATGTCAGTAGAGGGGAGGCCTTTGGACACAAGTTCTTTAACTCTCACTTTCTCTTATGCATTTTTTCTTCTACTGTTGCCCTGTCTTTTTTTGCTCCATCTCACTTAATGCTTGTGCTTGCATTTCCCACACCATTAGCCAAAAAGCTCTCAGCTGTTAGGCCAGATTATGATGTGTTGTGTCTGATGTTGGTGATGTCGAGACAAAAGTGTCTTGTCTCATTAGAGCCTTTCATCCTCCCCTCTTTTCCTGATGGTTTAGAGACTGCTTTACATTTTATTTCATCTACTGTTCTTTCCGCCTACCAAAAAAACTGCACGCAAGTTGGACTGGATTTGAATTAGCCTGCTTCTTAAATTTTCTTAGGGCTTATAAGGTGTGTTGGATGACTCTCTGTCCAGTTGCACATATTTTTCTTTGGATAGTTGTTAACTTTCAAATCTTTCATATAAACCCTTTTCCTCCCTTTTAATTTTTTTAGACCTCTTTTTAGCCAAACTGATCTCTCCACAGTTTGCAATTGTCCTGATTTGAGTTGCTTCATATTAAGATGTAGACTCTATTCCAGCTCTCTTAACTTTCTATACCCTTTCATTGTTTTTTCACAGCTAGACACACCGGATATTGCCTGCCATGCCTTTTAGTTTAGGAGTCACTGAGGTTCAGGGTATTTTTTTGGCTGGACACGATATCATGACATAATGTACTCAAAGAATTGGTGTTCTCTGGGCTGTCAGTTTCTCCTCCCTGTTATCCTTTTCCCTTCTGTTGACGAATTTTAAGTGTAAGACACTATTTTCTCCTTGACTTTTCCACCCTCACATGTTAGGAAATTCCCAGCAAAC